TTGTAATATAAAATATTTATCTTCTATTTTTAAATTTTTTTACATATAATTTTTATAAAAAATTAAATATTTATGAAATAATTATGAGTTACTCTTACTTTTAAAAATGTTATACTTTATTTTTTAAAATTAAAATCAGGCGTTTTTCCCAAAAAATCACCGGTGACGGGTATATTTATCGATCTAATACCGATCAGACTATATTTCGATTTAACACCCTTTTCAGTAAGGCGCCCCCCTGCAGCGCGCTATACGCTAATTTGCGGCCACGTGAGGTAAGGCGCGCCCCTTGCGACCGCCTTATGCTGACATGAATACATGTATGTATAACGCGGCCCCTGGGGCGCGCCTTACGCCATAAAGGGTATAGCGTGGGTCAGGGGCCACGTGTGACCTTTATAATTATATATAGCGCGGGACATGTACCGCGCCTTGTATAATTGTTACAACTTTTCTCGCCTATAAATACCCTTCTCCCCTGGGTTAAGTTCCTCACAACTCCTCATCTCTCCTCTCAACTTATAAATTAATACAACAATTCCGTCAACGAGTCAATAATTCTGACAATTTTCTCATATTTTATTCAGAAGTTCATGCGATTTTTTCGTTATAAGGTAATTTTGTGATAATTTTTTATTATATTTATTTATTTGTTATACTAATTGTTGTCAATTAATTTCTGTGTTTGTAAAATTAGAAAGCGGGAATATACGTCGAAATAGAGTGTTTTCCAAAAAAATCACCGATGACCGGTATATTTACCAATCTAACACCGGTCAGACTATATTTCCCAATCTAACACCCTTTGCAGTAAGGCGCCCCCTGCAACGCGCTATACGCTGATTTGGCGCCACATGGGGTAAGGCCCCCTGCGACGCGCCTTATGCTGACATTGATACATGTGTGTATGGCGCGGGGCAGGTTGGTAATTAAGGGTATAGCGCGGCGCAAGGGCCGCGCCTTACCTGTGATTCTAACACGCGTCAGAAAGGCGCGGCCCCTGCGACGCGCTATACCCTTAATTACCAAATTAGCCCCGCCCGTTCACACCCACCATCCCATATAAATACTTCATTCTCAATCACTTTCATCACACCAAATCCTCTCAACTTCTCTCAAATACTCTTATATTCTCTTATTAAGGTATATTTTATTATATTTAGTATGTTTTAGTAATTTATTTAATTATTTTAATTGTTTAATATTTTATTTAATTATTTTTTTTGCATATATAAAATGGAAGGCGGTCTACTTTGGTTGGATGGAAATCATATATCTCGACACTTTGCTGATACGTTAACATTTTAACGTTTTAATTTAATTAATTAATTTAATGCATGATTATTAGTTTAAAAATTAATTTGTGAAATTATTTATATTTTAGGAGAGAGACCATATTAGATCCTTTTATTAAGAACCTTAAGTTAGTTATACCTACTTGTGTAATGTCGTATTTAGTAGAGGCTGGATTCGATCACCTAGGTAAATATCAGGGTCACTGTAAGATAGAACCATACCTTATTTCTGCCTTAGTAGAGCGGTGGAGGCCGGAGACCCACACATTCCATCTTCCGTGCGGAGAGTGCACGATCACGCTTGAGGATGTTTCTATGCACCTGGGGCTTCCAGTGGATAGAGGTGTGATATCAGGGATAGCTTCCGGTTCTTGGACTACTTTGTGCCGGATAGTCTAGGACGTGTCCCGGAAAATTTTAACGGTGGACAGATACCGTTAAATTGGTTAGATGCCAAATTTCATGAGTTGAGCGAGGACGCGTCTGACGATGAAGTTAAACAATATGCACGGGCATGCATACTGCAGCTGATAGGAGGGTTGCTGATGCCGGACAAATCGCGCAACCAAGTTCACTGTATGTGGTTGCAACATCTTGGCGACTTTCATCTGGCCGGATCACTTAGTTGGGGCTCGACATTTTTGGATTACCTGTACAGGGAGATGTTCGAGCCATTGACTACAGGCGTAATGCTATCGGCGGATGTCTCCTGCTGCTGCAGTCTTGGGCATGGTATTGATTTCCCTTTTTATGTCCCATTGTCAAGAACCCATTCGTATTTCCGCTACTCCTGAGGTAATTATAAAACTGATTTTGTATATTAATAATTTTATACAGTGAATAAGAAATTATTTTTCTTGAATAGGTGGTCTATTGATAGGAAAAATCATCAGGAGCTACTTGATGATTTAGAAATAATTAGGGTGTTAATCGATCAGAAGGCCGGCACACAGGTATGAATTTTAATGTTTAAAAATCGATTTTAGATTATAGTTATATAATTAAATTATTATTTTGATAAAGTTATATATATTTGTTTTAGTTTGAATGGGTGTCATATTCTACTGATGATGTGAGGGCGGTGATCCCACTTGAGTTGAGGGGCCCATAAGATGTTTGGATGCGACGATCCCCATGATCTGTTATGCGATCGAAGAGTGGCACTCCACTGATCGCGTGCTCTGACAATTTGGTTGTTTTCAACCAATTCCGGAAGCACCTCGCAATATGGACGAGTTGCATAGCACATATATACGCGGCAAGACAGATACAGATTGGCTGGTGAGGCATCATGTATGAGTCGTGTTGGGAGGATCGACATCGGCACCTTCCCGTAGAGAGCACATTTTACTTGACCTCTTGATGGTTGCTGACGGTTATTACGAGTGGTTCAACAGTAACGGGAAACGGTTTCTGCTTCCCGAGGATGCACGAGGGTAGACCTTTCCGCGACGTCAACAGAGACGTTCACCGACACAGCACCATCGTCCCCCGACTCGTGGACGGAGAGCAGGTACTTCCGATTTATCTCAGCTACACCAACAGGACCTTCACAGCAGCCATCGTATCCAACGACTTACATACTACAACCATATATGATGCCGCCACCGCCTTTCCATTATCAGTGGAGTGCCACTCGACGGTCGCATAAAATATCAATGGGATCGTCGACATCCAAACATCTGATGGGCCCCTCAACTCAAGTGGCATCACCGTCCTCACATCATCAGTAGAATATGACACCCATTCAAACTAAAACAAATATATATAATTTTTATCAAAATAATAATCTAATTATATAACTATAATCTAAAATCGATTTTTAAACATTAAAATTCATACCTATGTGCCAACCTTCTGATCAATTAACACCCTAATTTTTTCTAAATCATCAGGTATCTCCTGATGATTTTTCCTATCAGTAGACCACCTATTCAAGAAAAATAATTTCTTATTTATTGTATAAAATTATTAATATACAAAATCAGTTTTATAATTACCTCAGGAATAGCGAAAATACGAATGGGTTCTTGACAACGGGATATAAAAAGGCAATCGATACCGTGCCCAAGACTGCAGCAATAGGAGACATCCGCCGATAGCATTACGCCTGTAGTCAATGGCTCGAGACATCTCTCTGTACAGGCAAGCCAAAACTGCGAGCCCCAACTGAGTGATCCGGCCAGATGAAAGTCACCAAGATGTTGCAACCACATACAATGAACTTGGTTGCGTGATTTGTTCGGCATCAGCAACCCTCCTATCAGTGCAGTATGCATACCCGTGCATACTGTTTAACTTCATCGTCAGATGCGTCCTCGTTCAACTCCCAAAAATTGACATCTAACCAATTTAACTGTATCCGTCCACTGTTAAAATTTTCCGGGACACGTCCTAGACTATCCCAACACAAAGTAGTCCAAGAACCGGAAGCATGATCGTGCACTCTCCGCACGGAAGATGGAATGTGTGGGTCTCCGACCTCCACCGCTCTACTAAGGCATAAATAAGGTCTGGTTCTATCTTACAGTGACCCTGATATCTACCTAGGTGATCGAATCCAGCCTCTATTAAATACAACATTACACGAGTAGGTATAACTAACTTAAGGTTCCTAATAAAAGATCTAATATACAGTCTCTCTCCTAAAATATAAATAATTACACAAATTAATTTTTAAACTAATAATCATGCATTAAATAAGTTAATTAATTAAATTAAAACGTTAAAATGTTACCGTATCAACAAAGTGTCGAGATATATGATTTCATCCAACCAAAGTAGACTGCCTTCCATTTTATATCTGCAAAAAAAATTAATTAAATAAAATATTAAACAATTAAAATAATTAAATAAATTACTAAAACATACTAAATATAATAAAATATACCTTAATAAGAGTATTTGAGAGAAGTTGAGAGGATTTAGTGTGATGAAAGTGATTGAGAATGAGATATTTATAGGGGGATGGTGGGTGTGAACGGGCGGGGCTAATTTGGTAATTAAGGGTATAGCGCGCGCAGGGGCCGCGCCTTTTTGACGCGTGTAAGAATCACAGGCAAGGCGCGACCCCTGCGCCGCGCTATACCCTTAATTACCAACCTGCTCAGCATAAGACGCGTCGCAGGGGGCACACCTTACCCCACGTGACGCCAAATCAATGTATAGCGCACTGCAGGGGCACGCCTTACTGCAAAGGCTGTTAGATCGAAAAATATAATCTGATCGGTATTAAATCAGTAAATATACTGATCACGGGTGATTTTTTTTTTTTTTGTTGAGAAAAACGCCCTAAAATGATAGCTCTGTCCTGATAGTTTATTGGAGTAAGTAAAAAATATCCACCTGCTGGACCACTTAAAGATAATCAAGCAACCTTTTTCCTTTGCTTAAGTATGCCTTTATTTTCGTTCTTCGACTCTTTGCTCATTAAATTTAACTCATGCTCGATCTATTGGTCATCAAGTATAATAAGATTTTATTTGATTTGTGTTAGTTAAAAATTTTATTGTTCGACTTGTTACTTGTTAAATTCGCTAAAAGTTTTGTCTTGTTTGCTAAAAGAATATATAAGTGGCACGGAGGAGGAAACACGTGGAGTTTCGAAAACAGAAAGAAAGAAAAAAGTCGGTCGCCAAAACAGAAACGAAATATAACGTTAATACGAAAATAGGTGAATAATCAAATAGAAATCCTCGGGTCGAGCTTGCTTTATTTGCTGTCCGTCTGATAAATTGTTTGTTTAAAGTTGTATCTCTTTGAACGATCATACCATTTCCAAGTCTTATGATGCCTTATTGTTGTTTCAGAAAACAAGGAAAGTTGACATACATGGCGCAAGTTCTGAAGCTTTATCGATGGAGGCGCTAGAAGAGGAAATAATTCCGAGACAACGGAACACTGGTCGCCGGATCACAAGTGAGAACCTCGCCATCGGCTCTCACAACGTATGTTTCAGGATCTACATCGATCTGTGGGAGAGCATCATTTAGCTTCATGTCAAGCTTGGTTAGACCTATGACGTTGCTTACAGCTTCTACTCTCTTCTTCAGTCCGTACGACTCTATAGTTCCGCTACCTAAAGCAGCCTGTTTTGCAAGAAAAGGTTAGTGCAACTCTACTTATTCATCATGCATGGTGTTAACTTGGAAACCCTAAAACCCAAAATCGAACTCAACTGTAACATTTGATCGGGTTTCAGTTCGAGTTTTATTGGATATGACTCAGTTTTGGCCTGCATGATAATTCAACATACCTGGTTCGGTTTCTCTATCGAACTGTAATTATTCGAATCAAATCAAATTCTTTATTTTTATAATATAAAATCATACTTTAAAATTATTGAAAAGAAACTTACAATACTATATAAACAACACATTTTTCAGAAAAGGTTTTAAAACTAATGAACCAAATTGATTCGAACGGATGAACATCAGTTATCAAAACCAAACCAAACCATTATCGATTTATGGATCCTAGATACATTATTATATATAGACAGAGGTAGAATTCATTTATATGGTGCAAAACTCATTAGTTTTACACGAAAATATAACCATTAGATGAATTTAAATGGATGGATTAGATTAAAATTTTATTATTCCATTTCTTTGTGGAAATTATAAAAGAAAAATGATAGTGCCGACGCACAAAGTTTTACTCTCATGCATTCATTTAGATTCATCTAATGATTATATTTTTCTGTAAAATTAATTAGTGTTACACAGTGTAGGTGAATGCTACCCATATATACACAGAGAGGGAGAGTTCATACTTTGCTGACGAAAGCAATGGAGTTAGCACTTGCGGCCTTTCCGAAAGCTCCAAACATTGGCCTTGACAACACCTATGACAACAAATATCTTTAGTAAAAAGTGCTTAACTATGTTTCTTCAATTGATCTCATAAGGTTCAGGTGCGATTATCGGTTACGGGTATATACCCGGCTCATTCTTTTGAGAATTTTTTCATGTATTTGAAGAGTCATATCTTTGAGATCATATCTAGGTACGGGTCGAAAACAAGCATTGGCCACAAATACTACAAGAAGAAAAAAAATAAAGAATCGGAGAATATAAAGTTTTACCGGTTCAGGTGTTGGGATGCTTGCATTAGCATCTCCCATGTTAGACCAAACAATAACACCGCCTTTGATTACCATTTCGGGTTTTGCCCCAAAAAAGGCTGGTTTCCATAAAACAAGATCAGCCAATTTGTCCACCTGAAAGATGAAATTCATATATTGCCAATGTAAGTGAAATTTAGTGATGAAAAATCCCGAGCCAACGGATTTTGTACAAGGAAAATAAAAGAGTCAGAACAACATAGCAAACGATATACCTCCACGGAACCAACAAATTTTGCAATACCATTAGCAATGGCTGGATTTATGGTGTATTTGGCAATATACCGTTTGATTCTGAGATTGGAAGGGCCTGAGGGATCAAACCAATCCCTTTCTGCTCTCATCTTGTGCGCAGTTTGCCAAGTTCTGCATATCACCTAGAGAGAGAGATTTTGAACTTATTTCAGCATTTAGATCATGGAATTTTGGATTTGTCTCTTATAAGCACATGCAAGATGAGAAATAGGTGTTACCCAGAAGGTTTATTTTGTTCCAGATCTTTTTTTTTCTTTTAATGTTCTTATATCTAAAACTCATGTCCAACACATTTCGGACATGAGTTTCAGATACAACTCTCCAAATATATGAACCTATATTTACACTCAAATTTGAGTAACCGGTTTGACTGACCAATAACATCCAATATTTTAATCCAAGTTTTCGACCTCCGAAAATCATTTAATCATAACACCAACTACTCACACGAAATCGTTCTAATGAGATTGAAGTAAGGCAAGCCAAAGAATAAGAGAAGTAGAATCTAGAATTAAACCTCGCCGATACGACCCATAGCCTGTGAATCGGAAGATATAATGCTGATTGCCCCCATGTCGTGCAATATGTCTTCGGCGGCAATGGTTTCGGCCCTAATCCTTGATTCCGCAAACGCTACATCTTCAGGAATATCCTTGTTGAGGTGATGGCAAACCATCTGCAAAGATAGGAATGCATGAGAATGGAAAAACTTACAAAAAAAATTGAGCATACTGACATTTCAAGACTTAAAGTAACATCACTGTTATCTTCTCATACCAGCATGTCAAGATGTTCATCTATGGTATTGGAAGTATAAGGGCGTGTCGGGTTTGTTGATGAGGGGAGGACGTTTTTAACGCCACATACTTTGATGATATCTGGAGCATGACCACCACCGGCACCTTCACTGCCGAAATTACATCAATCATGAACATCAATGAACTGAACCCGACTCCTAACCAAAAATTAAGAGTCTATAGAACTCTAACTAATTCTGAAATTAGAAAGATAGTTATACTCAAGGAACTCGGATGGGACTGAAATCAAGCTAACCCATCAGCATTGACCGTTTAATTCTAAACGTAAATTAAAAAGGAAGGCAACCCACACACATTAACAATATAGATTGGTATTCAATCAACCGTAAACCAGAAGTTCGACCGGTTTGATCTCTGATCCAGTTTTTTATTCGTTGGTTAGGGAATGGGAGACATGAGTTCATACCTGTGATAAGCATGAATAGTTCTTCCTTTAAATGCAGCAATTGTGTGCTCGACAAATCCAGATTCATTCAAGGTGTCAGTATGAATATTAACCTGCCAAAAACAAATCAATATAAAAAACGAATTCATGCTTAAAAATGTAATTTTTTGAAAATAATCCCGGAAATAATTGGCACTCTTCTTTGTCTGACTTGGATATCATGTTGTTCTGCAACAGCCAAACAATTGTCTATTGCAGCAGGCGTAGTTCCCCAATCTTCATGCAGCTTCAATCCCATTGCTCCAGCTTTGATTATATCATGCAGTTCTTCGGGTTTCGAACCATTTCCCTAAGTAAGAAAAAGGAAGATTTGAGTGCACTAGAAAACTCTAATGATGACGAAGAATAGTGTTGTTACTCTGACTTGGGTGTGAACGTTGGATATGAGTACATGTATGTATGATACATGTGTTGTGTCATTCCATTTGACGGTTATGTACTCGTATCCAAAAATGTCTTTAAAGTTAAAACAACAATTATTCAAACTGAACAGAATGCTTATTTTTTGTTTAATTTATAATTATTTTTTATAAAATAAAATAAATCTTTTATCTATATATTAGTGAAAGAAACGTCAAAATATCATTAATAAGACATATTTGCAAATTTTAGAAAACAACAAACTGAACTGATCCTATCCAAAATGATAAAATTAGATTCAAGTTGGTTGGATTATCTATAATATTCATTTTGATTTTTAAAAACTAGAATACCGCACATTAGTCATAAAATTTTCCAACCAAACTATTATTATCTCCGTACAGTTCATCCTTCACTTCTTAGCTAACGCATGGATTAACAAAAAAAAAACAAAAGGGTTGAATATATTATGCAAAAAATAATAATCTTACCTTCCCTGTGAACCCAAAATTTAAAGGAAAGTCATCAGTAGACTGCAGCATCATTTTCATTTGCGCCGGTGCCGGTGTACAAGTAGTTGCTCGTGTTCCGTCGGCTGGTCCAGTCCCACCTCCGATTAATGTTGTGATGCCTACATTAAATATTTAATAAAGATGCATGATTCTATATTAATCCGACTCTTCATTTTTTTTCTAAAGTATTTATGTTTGACACCCAGACCCAACATACACGAGGTTTGGGGCATGATTCCCCAAATATACTAAACATATACCCATATTGTGTCCGACCCTCACACCCAAATCCAAGTAACACAGACGTTGTCGCTTTTATATTTCTCTTGCTCTTGCCAAAACCAAGCACATAACGATATGTAAGGTTTGTGTATGTTTCGTATTTCGGTAACATCTTTAGTTAAGTATGCCTGAAAATGTAGCTTACCACTTGAAATAGCTTCATGAACTAACTGAGGGCAAATGAAGTGTACATGACAGTCGATAGCCCCTGCAGTTATGATTGATCCTTCTCCAGCAATAACCTCGGTGTTAACCTGCGAATCGATGGTACCAGACATTGGTATAATTATACTCGGACAATGCATTCATATGAAAGAAAAAAAACTTACACCAATGATCAAGTTAGGTGATACACCATCCATGGTATCCGGATTGCCCGCTTTCCCAAGTCCAACAATTATGCCATTTTTAATACCAATATCTGCCTTGAATATACCAGTGTAATCAATAATCACAGCATTTGTTATAACAGTGTCTAAAGATTTATCTGGTGGATGCCCAGAAGATTGTCCCATTCCATCTCTTATAACTTTTCCACCACCGAATACACATTCATCACCATATACAGCAAAATCTTGTTCTATTTCAGCATACAAATTCGTATCACCGAGTCGGATCATATCACCAGTAGTAGGGCCATACTTGTTAGAATAATCCTCGGAAGAAATCGTTTTGGTAAAATCAGGATCTTGTCCAGTCTGGCCTTCTCTGCAAAACAAGTCGAGGCATCAATATTTTTGTATTTAAGTAGACGATGCTTGCTAATCAAGAAATTCTTTTGGTGAAATCAGATCAAAGTAAAACAAGACAAATAATAAGTTTCTAGCTCAAGTTATAAACCTAGCATCTGTTTCTTCCATATTCATATAGCCTTCACTCCTTACAGTTTCCATCACTGTTTCTATATTGGCAATGTCAACAGGGCCATCAACAATTCCGTTTCCTCCTCTGATCACTCGGTTACCACCAATGCTGACTAGCAGAACGGTTTTAATTTCTCCAGGCTGGAAAAGGAAACACCTTTCAGTCAAAGAACAGAGCTGGATAGATCAAGGGATGATCCTAAACCAATGAATTGTTACTCGGATTCTTCATTTTTCTTGAAGTAACCGTGTGTGCAAAACACATCCAAACATTGCTATAAGATATAACCCTCTAAGAATCCTCCAAAAAAAACAATGAATATATCCATGTTGAATACATACTCATATCCACCCAAGTCCGAGTAACATAGCCCATGAATATACCAAAGGAACATTTAATTAAATTCACTAAATAAATTTTCTGGATGAACTTTTATGATAATTCTATATATAATAATGTAAAAGAAGCACTTAAATAACCCTCCTACATCAACAGAATGCTCTCTTCCAGATTCTTACTATTAAATTTTCATAATGAATGCAATTATCATTATAAATTCTGAGGCTTCCTCAAAAATCAGTGTCTACCAATTCAGTTCCACATTGTGGAACTTGGACATGAGTGGGAGTATTGGGCGTGGATATGTGTCCGGTACAGGTATGTTCAACTTTTTCCAAGATTTTAATCTCTGTGGCCAGTTCTCGGAAGGTCATATCTCATACCCATATCCAAATATACACTAGATATGTATGTCAGACATACACTTCACAAAATAAAAAATGATGAGTCGAAGTTTCATAACTGTATAATGAAAGACATCAATACTACTTTTTTTATGTCATTGATTCCTATGGCAGAATCAATAATTTCTTACAAATCCAGGGGAAAATTTCCTAAATAAATGAAAACAAGAACCGCTCCTGCAAAAAAAAAAAAACTAAGTGAGAGTACACAGGTTCTTTTACTAGAAAGGGATCAATTGGTACTAATGTTGTTCAGACTTTTCATTTTACTTAAACGTACTAGTGTGAGACACACATTCAGACTTGGTATATGAGTATGAATCTCCAAGTAAATGGAAAAACATAGCAAATATTGAGCATATTTGTTTCGGAAAAATACATAACTGGCATTTACTCTTGAATCTGAGTAACATAAACGTACACAACACGATCAATGAATAACCATTAATAGACTTTAATCAATGAATCAAACAACAAGCTTCTCAACAGATGAAGGTTAAAATACTCAACCTCAAATCTTGTAGCTGTTCCTGCAGGTATATTTAGCCGCATTCCATATGCTTTCCTTCGATCAAAAACCATGACAGGGTTTACCTCGATAAAGTGATAATGGCTTCCTACCTGAAAAATTATTGAATGATTAGCACAAAGATCTTTCAGTTCTTCCTTAGGGAAAAATAGAACAAAAATTGTACCTGTTAGCTATATGGTATGGTATTGTAGGTCACTTCTCTATACCTGTGTTACCTTAAACCTCGTTTTCTTTTAAAGTGCTAGTGTCCAACACGTGTCAGACACATTTTTTGGACATGGATATTGAGAAAACATCCTCCAAATACACGGAAAAAACTTGGAAAAAATTTGAACATACCCATGTATGGCACTCATCATTCTCCTTGAAATACACATGTTCGACATGTGGATACGGAGTTATGACCTCCAAGGATTCTCCAGAAAAACTTTAGAAAAATCTAATCATATCCATATCTAACACACTCTAATCCTAATAATATAGAAAAATCTAATCATTCTTCGTATCTAACACTCACATTTGAATCCTAATAATATAGACAGAACTGGTTCAGAATTGATCAAACTCTCAACAAGAAAAATAAAAGATATGAATAGAAGAAGAGAGTTTGCAGCACCTGAATTGGCCTGTCTCCAGCGTTATGGACTTTGAGGCTTACTGCTTTCCTGCCATCATTAAGTGTAATCATCCCATCTTTGGGGATCACATTACCAGGAACCGTTTTATCTTCCATTTCAGGTTTCATACAGGAAGGCACTGCATTATCAATGTTCTTTTAGTTCCCACTGGGGTACTTCACATTCTCAAGAAGTAACAATTCCAAGTTTCAACTATACAGTATAGTCTACTAAGCCTTCAAGTATAAAAGTAATTACAAAAAGACTTATTTAATGATTTTATTTAAGCTTGAATGTAAGTGTCAGATATGACTATATGTCAAATATGGATATGCACAAGGTTTCTAGGGTTTTCATGTATTTGGAAGATCCTTGGGGGATTATTTTTTCACTCGCATCTGGCAGACAAATACTTCAAGAGAAATGAAGTGTCAAAGCACATAGCTTATTGATATATCATGAGGTTCATATTTCAAAAGCCAGATAGGTTAGAGCCAAAAAGAAACTAAAAGAGTTGAAACTTGAACATGAGCCCTATCCTTTTATTTGAGGTCAAGCACGCAAAAATCTGTGTACAAAAACATGTTCAACTTTCATTTTGCTTAAAATATCCATGTCTGACACATATATGAACATAAGTATGGGGATATGAGTATGACCCTCCAAATACCCTACAAATACATGGAATAAAACATAGAGAAAATAGAACACAACCGTGTATCAGTATTTACACTCACACTTGGGTCAAACAACAGCTAAGATCACCGATATATCATGCATATATTCTTTGCGGTAGTCTGTATTTCCAAATATATATATATGGCCTACCAGGTAGAAAAGAACCATATAATGCAAGCTGCAAGTCTCCATTTTCACTAGCGATCGGATCATGAATAGTGATTAATTTTGTCCCATCAGGAAATGTCCCTTCAACCTTATATTAAAAAAAAGATTTGTTTACTTGCATTGCTGATTTTGATAGGGAAAAAAGAGTTCACAATATAAGCCGAGAAAGTCCGGTACAATGACTCTTCATGCCTGTATTGCTCCAACTCATTTTTCTTAAAGTGTACATGATAACACTCATGTCTCACACATGAACGAGGATATGATCTCCAAGGATCCTCCAAATATATCAAGAGTTTTTTAAAAAAAATCTGACAATATCCTTGTCAAATATATACCTGTATCCTACACTGACAAGATTAGGTTTTTTAAGCTTTTACAAGTATTTGAACTTTAAAGGATCCTTAGAGGTCACAACTCCATAACCATGTATGGGACCTGAGTACTTATACATAAATGAAGAGTTAAAAAAAATAACGTTTAGGATATAAAACATAAGAATTGCAAAGGAAAATTTAATGTCATTTATGATTACTTAAAACATAGTTACCTGTACAGAATCCAATAAATGTGGAACGGACGAACGAACTTGGCTCCTGTTTATACATTAATTAAAATTACTATTTGTTTCTACAAAATAATATATATATCATTTGTTCAAAGCAAAACACCATCAACACCTATATTACTCAGATATTGATGTGAGTGCTGGATTCGAGTATGTGCCCCACACAGGTATATTAAAGTTTTTCTAGTTTTTTTTTCATGTATTAGAAACGTCATTTTAGAATCGTAGCTCCATGTCTGTGTCTCAAAATGTATCAGATATAAGTTTCGGACACCAATAGTTCAAGAGAAATGAACCCAAGCAAAATGGTTGCATACCTTCCCAAAATTTGTTTGCCAATGTCCATCAATTCAGCCACACTCTTGTCGCCATTACGAACAAACTCAAGAATCTATGGTGGAACAAATCATATCAAAAGGGATTTGAAATTGGGATTTTCTTCAAACATCTTCAAGAAAAATCAGAAAGGTAAAACTGGCACACAGCAAAATACAGGCACGTAATTGACTTAGCTCTGAAAACCAATAACTCTATCTACGAACAATTTCTAACAAAATCCTTAATTATTCACTCCACTTTACCAAGATATATTGCTTTGACTCTCCATTTTTCTTGAAGTAACTCAGAAACTTATCTAGACATATGTATAGGATATGATCCTCCAAAGACCTTCAAAATATAAGAAAATCTTGAAATTCCCGTGTCACAAAAAATATACTAATCCGACACTCACATCTGAGTTCAAGTAACATAGCTATTAAGAAACAATGAATTGAATATCCTGAAGCATGAGAATACCAATTACATAAAAACCCGCATAATTTTCTTTGAAAGGAAAAAGAAAAACAAATACACAAATAGACTCATTCATGGAAAAAGCTCAGCAGAATCAGGCAATAAATCATCAGGTTAGAGAAACTAGATAATCAGCAAACAATATGCAACAAATTTCAATAGTTTCTAGTCCTACTATATCTAGATTCTTCGTTTTTCCTAAAGTATTTGTATCCGACATAGGTGTCAGACACATACTCAAACATGAGTATGAGGGTATGATGTTTCATTTTCATATATAAGAAAAAACACTCGGACACAATTGATTTGGACATACCCTTATCAGACAAATACTCATACCCGTATCCAACACCCACCCCAAGTCCAGATAACAAATTTACATTGTAATATATATACATATCAGACATACACCCGTATCCAACACTTATCCCAAGTCTGGATAACAAATTGACATTGTAATATATACATATACACAAATTTGCAGAGTATAGGAATCACCTGAGTGGCAATGAGAGCAATAGCTTCAGTATAATTGAGCTTAAGCCCACGAGCCAGGCGCTTCTGGGCAAGGAACCCTGCATTATGAAGGGCAAGCTTCTCCACTTCTCTTGGGGTTAATTTCATAATTCTTTTTTTTTTGTTAAAACTCTATTCAACTTCTTTCATTCAAATTCAATGCCAAATAGCTTTCTCCACCACCAAAACACCTAATCACGATGTATTAATTTGATAAAATGATTACTACTTTTCTTATTAAGATTCAAACCCAGGAAAAAAAAAGAAGCTAAATTTGAACTGTCTGATCTACAGTTGACCAAAAATTTCAGTAAAAGCAGATGATTGTGAATTCATGAAACATACCCACTGTTGGATTAAAGTAGGATTTGATTAACTACATTAATTACTGCTATAATTTCTAAGATTGAAGTCTTACCCTTTGAAAGATGCTGAAAGTTACTCACTGAACCAGATGGCGATGTCATAGGAGAGACTGTGAAGCTGTTGGTTTCATCTATTACTACTTTGGACTTTGGGGATTTCGAAAAAACTCGCTATAGAGTGCTTGTACCTTATGCTCCACAATGTAGTACCCTACCAACTTTATGCTACCATATTACACATTAACTTATATAATAACTTTATGGGTATTTATGCCATGACTAGGTTATCCTAATTTTCGATTATGATTAGAATTAGGGATGGGAATTTGACTTCATCTTGTAGAGTGGAATTTTTTCCAAAAATATTTGGATTCATATGTATATTTATTTTTAATTATAGTCCGGTACAGTTTGAGTTTAAAGTAAAAAATGTTTGACTCAATAATAATAATATAATTGATCCTTATATATTTAGAGATAATTATTATAATATATAACTATATTTTTTCAAATTTATCCCTATTTTACCTAATAAAGAATAAATTTTTATATATATTTATATCATGTCGAAACTGACATTTTTTAATCATAAGGTTTAATCGGGTTGAATTTGTATATAAGATGAAAATTTTCAACCTCACTCAAGAATAATAATATAATCTCTCTCTAAAGAATCATTGATTGTCGTACGGATATGAGTCTGATTAAATTTAAGAATTATCTTTGACAATTTAAAATTAACAATCTTTGTTATAATATTCTCAAATACCACATTGTTTATATATAATATTTTAAAGTATTTAAATATAATCTTTTTAAACATACAATCATTAAATGATTGAAGAGAATACTTATATACATATGTTGTCATTGTGTCCAATTTATACATGTAAATATGTATCTTTAATATATATTGTGTGCATTACTTCATTTTAAATAAAATTTATATAACTTTTAATTTATATTTATATTTTTTATTTTAATCTCGGATGAGATTAATATAAGAGAGATCCTACCCAAAAAAAACATATTACATAGATAAAAATGCATCATGCATCCATCAAAATACGCCTTTAAAAGAGTGCTTCTACATGATATCTTTTATTAAAAGAATGTTATTTTGATTGATAATATTATTTAAATGCCATTTGAATAAAAAAAATTAAGATAATAAATTAACTCAATCATATCATTGACATATAAATTGTTTAATGAATATTATAAATGGTCGTACATTAATAATTGATGACTAGTTTTATTAGTTAAAATGATATTTATATAATTTAGGAAATTCAAAAATTATAATAATAAAATTTGAAAGGAGAATAATATTACTGATTTTATATTACTTACAACTACAAAATTAACAGTTAAACAAAAAGAAAAAGAAAAATTCAGCGCAAGAAAATGGATAAAAAAGCTCATAATTTTTTCGACTCGTCTTCTAAACCTATAAAGCCTCGGTTTCTTTTTCAACAGAAAATCAAAATCATTCAACGAATAATTCGAAACAACCAATCAAATTCCCACTAAACCCACATGCCGATCACTTCATTTTCACTGTTCCGCAGCCGCTTACCCGCCGTAACAACAGCCATCCGCCGCCACTTACCACCCGACCGCCAACTCGTTATCATATCCGCCAAACAGACCCCTTCAAATCCCAGACACAACGTATCCAAAAAACCCCAACCCAACAAGAATCTCCTCAAAGCCAAACACATTTTCAAAGACTACTCCTCCTTAGCCCCCGTCCTTGCCCCTAATGAAACCCCGCCCCTCTCTGATTCACAAGCCATCGGCGCCGTCGCCGCCGCCCAAGCCAACTTCATGCGGGTTATCGTCCAAGGGGAACAGAAAGAACCCGGGGATAGTTCTAAGACTAGGGTGGAGTTGCTGTGCGTGGTGAAGGCGGTTTTGAAGAAGATAAAGAGAAGGGTTTTGGTCGGAGACAAGGTAGTGGTGGGTTCGATTGATTGGGTGGACCGGCGTGGGGTTATCGAGAATGTGTTCCAACGGAGCTCCGAGATCTTGAACCCGCCTGTCGCCAATGTCGACCACTTGCTCGTGCTTTTCTCGATTGAACAGCCGACGATCGAGCCGTTTATGCTCACGAGATTCTTGTTCGAAGCTGAGTCCTCTGGGATTCCCCTCACCCTTGCTTTGAACAAAACGGAACTCGTTGATGAGGAGGTTCGATTCTTGACGCACTCTTGATAGAACTTACCATAATTTTTTTTTAAAAAAAGTTTTTCATATATTTGGAGGACTTGTTCGTACGTCCGAAAATGTATGCAATACGAGTGTCAGAAACAGTAAGTTCTAGAAAAAAATCAAGAGTTGGAATTAGATCAACAGATTAGAGGAAATAAGTCGAGAGAGAACCAAATAGAAATTTCCATACTTCTTTTTCTTGCTAGCTCTAGTCTATCATTGAAGCTTTGCAATTGCTAGTTGTTTGTTTATGATATGGTAATTTTACTTACTCTAATTTGGATTCAAAGTTGAAAACAAAATGGTTGTTGTTAGTCTCATCGAATCTATTTTACACAAACTCTTGCCGACAGTGTCAAATTCAGGTATGTGTCCAATACGGGTGTTTTAGTTTATTTTTGAAGTTCTTTTTATGTATTTGGATTCTTGAAGGGTTGATGCATCCATGTGGACCATGTCTAAATATCTGTCAGAAATGAGTACAGAAAGAAAGAAAAAAGTAGCGTTGAATACCCCAATTTTCTGTTTTATAATATTTGAATCACATTTACATTGCCAAATAATATTTGTGTATTTTATTGGCAAATATACATACTGGGAAGACTCTTTTTTCATGGAAGAGTAGGTTGCGGAGCTGGGGTTACGAACCTGTCTTTTGCAGTGTTGAGACCAAAAATGGACTTGATTCTCTTGCATTTTACTTGAGGGATCAAACAACTGTAATTGTTGGTCCAAGTGGGGTTGGGAAATCAAGCCTTATCAATGTTCTCCGAAGTAATCACCGCACTTCTGATTCCCTTGAAGGAGATAATTTGTTTGATCCTGTGGGTTTGTTTCTTCTTTCTTTAGTACTTCATTTTCATTTTTCCTTTGTGTGCATGATAGTGATACCATATATTGATAATTTTGTGGGTGTGGTTGTTAGGATTGAACCCAAGGTCTGATGCCTCGCAAGCCTCTTGCCACAAAATCCAGAGGTTGTTGGCACTGAGAACAATAAGTGCTATATATATGCGTGTGTATGTGTGTATATATAATTATATATTGACCACTTGCGGGTGGGGTTGCTAGAGTTTGAACCCAAGCTCTCATGCTTCACATGTCTCATGCAACAAGGCCAATGAGTACTATGTGTGTGTGTGTGAATATATATACTGATAATTTAGGGCGGATTGGTAATGTTTGAACCCTAGCTACATACCTTACTAGCCTTCTTGTTACAAGGCTGAGAGATTGTTGGCATTGTATATTTCTCTTCCTTAAAGAACATTTCTCTCTTAGATTTTGGGCAGCAAGTGGTTTGATGATCAGAGAGTTGGGGAGGTTTCAACAAGAAGTGGCAGAGGAAAACACACTACTCGACATGTTTCATTGCTTCCACTGTCTGGAGGGGGCTATGTCGCCGATACTCCAGGGTTTAACCAACCTAGCTTGATGAAAGTGACAAAGCAATCTCTTGCACAGGCTTTTCCAGAGGTTGTTTGCCTGCTGACTGAGAAACAATTTGGTTGCACTTCAGTCTCTTTCAAATGTACATTTGCACTTGTTGGTGTTATCTGATATCTTTGTTCTATTTTCTTTTCCAAGATTCGGAAAATGCTAAAAGACAGTGAACCTGCAAAATGCTCATTCAATGATTGCTTACATTTGGGTGAACCTGGGTGCATTGTGAAAGGGGATTGGGAAAGATATTCATACTATTTTCAACTTCTTGATGAGATCAGAATCAGATAGGAATTTCAGTTGATGACGTTTGGGACCAAGAGAGAAGGCGATGTCAGGTATGTAAACTAAAACCATATTTCGCCGAGTCTCTTTATTAGAAGTATGCACACTCGACACCCGAGTCTGACCCATATCCAGACATGGGTATAAGGATATGACACTTTATAGGATCTCCAAATACATGGAAAAACTTATAAAATATTTTAACATGATCATGTCATAGGCATATCCACATCTGACACTCACCTCAAAGCCCAATTAACTGTTCTGAAATCTAAGATATGGTTCAAGTTTTTTGGACTGGAGGCTTATAATCTTTTCAGTTTGGTTCTGAAATCTAAAATGTCATTTGCAGGTACAAGGTGGGAGAATTGGGTGTTCAGCAAGCAGAACCTCGATTGGAACTGAAGAAACATCGGAGGCATTCGCGGAAAAAGATTAACCAGTCGTTGTTAGATGAGCTTGATGACGATGATGATAGCTTGGACTTAGAAAATGACCCCATTGTAAGGGCAATAGAGAATGAAAACCAGTAGGGAATTTTCAATCTTGTAGTGTACAGTGTAAATGACAAGGTTTAAACCAGACAATGAAGAGCATCTAAATCTCTTTCGAAGAGTTTTGTGAAGCCTTTTATGGCATAAACCCTTGAATGATTGCTTATTCTTAGATACTTCACTATTTTTTAGGGTTAATTACATTTGCACAGATACTCTTTAGTTATGACTTAAATTTTAAATTAATCCTTACACTTGAAAATGTTCTAATTAAATCACTAAATTATCAGTATTGTAGTTAATTATAACTTGAAAGCTCAAATACCATGTGCTCAAAGCTGAGATCTTTAAAGATAATAATCATTTCTTTAACTAATAAGATAACTTAGTTTGTGTAATTTTAAATGAATCTTTGTACTTTAAAATGCTTTAATTAAATTATCAAATCATTAATATATTTTAGTTAAATATCAATTCATATTAGACGTTAAATATTAATTTAAACGTAAAATATATTAGTAGTCATTAAAAAATTCATTTTAATTACTAAAATTTTAAAATTATAAAATAATCATTAAATTTATCAAATTTGCATAATCTAAAATTGATGCAAATGATCACTATAACATTATAATAATTGTAATAAATAAATAAATTTAATGATCATTTTAAACAAGTCGATAAAATTTGACGATTACTTTATAACCATTAGAAAAAGAAAAAAATTATTTTGGAAGTTGAAAGTTCAATCACCATAACAGTCCTAAGCTACAATGATTTCCTATGTACTTTACCCAATTAAAGAGAAAAATAATGTAAATTCTAACATCTTTGAAATTATCACATATGCATTCAAGTATATAAATGCAACAGAAAATAAAAGAAAAACATTTTAATCGAGGTAATCTCCAAGAAAAGACTCAGAAAACGTATGACTAAAATATGGTCTGAAAACTAAGGAAACCATCCAATACACCTAAATATCAAAGCTTCCTAAAAAATGTAAGAAATCCAACCACTGAGCTGACTCAAATTCTCAAACTTTTTCACTCATTAGGAAGCTTGGGATTACTTGGACTTGCTTGCTGCCAATTGAGTCTCAGGCTGAAAGCACAAAATGAGGATGATTTACCAACAAAAAATGCAAAAGCAGAACAGATGTTTTCATTCTATGTTGCTCCAACAAACCCCATAGCGGAGTCGATGTAACGTATCTTTCATTCATCAAGGAAACTTATGTTTTAATCGACTCACCTCTTTTTTGACAGGCTCTTCCTTCTCAGACAAAATCAACTCAATGTGGCAAGGAGAAGACATGTAAGCTGACAAAAAAATCAGAGTTCAATAAACATATGAAAAATAGAGCCTAAAAAAATTATATGGATAAGGATGGTTGTTATGATGCATACGGTTGATTCTTCCGTGAGCTCGGTAGGTACGACGCCTTTGTTTCTGGGCCTGGTTTACCTGGATGTGAGAAATATAGAGTGCATCGACATCCAAACCCTTGACCTGGGAAATTAATATCAAACTGTTAGAAAGGGGAAGCAATGGAGTTGATGGCGAAAACTAGAAACCATAAAGTAAGGCATACCTCAGCATTGCTCTCAGCATTCTTCAGCAAATCTAGAATGAGCTTGGCCGATTTTACAGGCCAGCGACCTTGTCCATTAGAATGTCTGTTCTTTGCCTGTGCAGTACGTCCAACGCCTCCACAAAAGCGTCGGAATGGTATGGCCTGCTTGTGAGCCATAACATCCTCCAAATACCTCTTTGCCTTAACCAAAGGCAATTTTCTAATGGCAAAAGCTGTTTCCCTTGTGTTCTATAAAACAATAATCGGGTATGAGAATCATCGAAGACAACCAACATAAAAAAACACCCGGAACTATATCATAAAACCGATCCTTTGACAGTTCATAAAAGTAGACCAACCAAACATCAAAACACACCACCAACAACAACTGAGCAAACTCATTCTTAAATCACAGCTAATTCAAAAACTAACTTATTTCTGAAGGATCATGAAATGTTGTATCATTTACTGATTCTTATGTTACCAATAACAATGCAGGGTAAATTTTCTGAAGTTTACGAGAACCTGGTTTGCATACGACAACAAGACCCTGCTTTTGTCATCAGGTTTAAGAATTTAAGTACTTGGCCAAGAAAATCTAAAACCATAAATAAACACATTCTAAAAATGATTAACCAAATCACATAAAAAAATCCTCTTAACAGCACCCTTCAATCATTTAATATAATTGTTAACTACGATGACGATTCGATTATACATACTATAATACTATGACATCTTTAACAAATATCATTAGTACAAAAGACTTGAATATAATGTATTTGCATGCCGTGATTTGATTTTTCATTTACTACCATCAAATAATTTACTGGATCTTCAACTGTACATGACACACAGGTTTCTGAACAACAATCCAACAAAAACCCAGAACTTAATATCAATATGCAATAGTTAAATCAAATTCCATCAGTTTTGACGATAATACCTTGAAATGAACCCTAAGATCAAAGCCCCCTGCCTTGCAGGCTGCAGAGAACCAACACCAAGCATAATTAGGGATTCATAAAAAAAGAAAGTGAAAATGCTCAAAAAATAGAAGAATAAAGAGAATAAAGGGGTGTTTACACTTGGTGGGATTGTCGGGCTCCTTCGAATACTTCACCATGGCGCCTAATCTAATGCGAGTTACTACTGCTACCTTGAGCGCTTCGACATAGCGGTAAAAGAATGGCTCATAATATATTAACTTCACAAGTCTTGGGGCTTTTAAATGGTTTCTTTTTCAAGCTTAGATTTTGGGTTTGAAAAAGAAAATTGAAGGAAAAAAGAATGGATTCATGTTACGATCCAATTCGAAAAAAATCTTCTACAGCCTAATTACTATTGGATAAACCTAAATTTTGAAGCCTTTATAGACCCAATACCAATTTCAATCTAAAAAAGTAAGAAAAATTATCTGGCCTTCCTTACATTGTAATTTTTCACATATATATTATAATATGTATGGTATATTATTATAATTTATATCTTTTTAGTTTAAATATGAGTCAAATAAATTTTTTATCTCTTTTTTTTATAATTACCGATATATGATTTATTGATCGACTAATTCAGACCGCGTACTGCAGAGGCGAGACCGACTCTCTTAACCCAAATTACTCAATTCGTAAATGCTAGAATTCGAACCCCTAACCTTACTCAAGGGATTTAGTTTCTCATCCCACTAGATCAACTGGTTGTTGATAAGTATTTATCTCTTTCGATTATTAAACTTAAATATTTAATATATCTTTATTCTTTTGATTTTCAATAAATTTCAGCCTTTTCTGTTCGGTATATCCACTAAGTTGATGGCCTCGTGAACTTCGCACTTCTATGCACCAACTGATTATTTTAATAAATATGAACAATAAAATGGACTGATGATGACTGTTTTCCATCTTTCAATATTGCTATCCCTAGGCATTTTTGCAATAAAATAACTCTGCGTTTGAATCAAGCAGCATATAATATGTGCAAATCAATAGTTTATATACAATGGCATCACAGTGTTGGTGAACTAAGCCAAGTACCTGACCAATTTCTCCATGGCAGCCTCGAGCTCGAATCTCAAGTCCCTCGTCGTTGACGCTCCTATTCTAAAGGTTATTTCAAGCAATCCTCTATTCAATCGTTTCTTTTTCAAAATGAATTATATTCGATACTGTTATGAATCTTTATAACTTATTTATACTAATATTTCTGTAATGTAATTAAAATAAAATCCAACTATACCTTTCGACGATCCCCTTGGTACAATCTTTCATAGTATCATTTGACTCTAAATAATATAATACGATGCTAACGAGTACTTCTTTTGCAGTACATCTTAGAGAAAAATGCTTATCCTAAAGAGCACCAGCAACTCAAGGAACTGAGAGAAATCACTACCGAAAAGTATGGAAAAAGGTACGTGTTCTTCTCTCGTTTGAGTGTGGTTTATGTGTTTAGAAGTTTATATTACTAGGATGAGTGAAGATATGTGCAGAGTATGAATCCGTTTTTGGATTTTCATTTTCTGTGTTTTTAAATGTATTTAGAGGATTTTTTAAAGGTGAAATACACATATTCATAACCTAATATTCAAATAATAATATTCAGGTTCAATATACGAGTGAAGATATATGTCGAATATATACCTATTTTATTGGGTTTTTTTATTAATATAGAGTGTTAATATCCTTACAAACATTGTGTTCTTACTCGGAATCTCAAAAGATAATAAATAACAATTACCTTTTAACTACTTAAATTGCTTTGTTCGTGCAAAAGTAGAAAAACGATATACATACTCATAACCTAATATACATTTAATAAGGTGTTGGTGCGGCACTTTAACTTGTAGGAGCATCATGAATGTGCCTGCCGACGAAGCACAATTCTTGTCGATGCTTTTAAAGATCATGAACGCGAAGAAAACGATGGAAATCGGAGTTTTCACCGGCTATTCTCTTCTCGCAACTGCCCTTGCATTGCCGGATGATGGCCAGGTAATTAATAGTTTCAATATATTTTTCAAGTCGGATTACGGATCAAATACGATAATATATTCCTATCCCCGAATAGGTCATACTTCTAATCGTGCTACGAAAAGTTGTTGCCCTTTGTAGATAACAGCGATTGCTTTGGACAGAGAATCTTATGAAACTGGATTGCCATTCATACAAAAAGCAGGAGTTGAGCTTCATTCAATCAGATGCATTTTCAGTTTTGGATGACCTTATTAACGGTGTAAGTATATCATCAGCTTCATATAAATAATGACGACGAATACGAGCAAAACGGGTACGGATCGTTATGGGTCTGATAACCTCGAATTATTTGAGTTTCGGAATAAAACTTTTTTAAATCTTAACCTTTTACCTTATATAGTAAAACAATCTTTTGAGTCAAGTTCTATAGAATTTGAATAATCAATTTCGAGTTGAGTTCAATCAATCACTTTTAAATTCTTGGTCTAATATTGAAAGTTAGTTCTCTGTTTTAATTTGTCATAATCTGATTCTCGTATTTTTTTTTAAAAATGAAAAATTAATCAAGTTGTTGGTAAATGAAAAGTAGATGATGATAATAAATTTATCTTATAATGAATTTGATCCGAAAATATAATATCATTTTAAATTTTCCCTGTTTTATTGTCATTCTATCCGATGATCAAACAATTCAATTGCAGGAAGAAGAAGTGAGGTTTGATTTCATATTTGTGGATGCCAAAAAGGAGGAATACATGAAATTCCATGAGAAAGTGATGAAATTGGTGAGAATTGGAGGGATTATAGCATATGACAACACTTTATGGTTTGGGTCAGTTGCTTACAAACAAGAGGATAAGAAATACAGTGAAATGCCTGAATATACACATAGAAGTAAAGATTATGTGATTCAATTTAATAATTTTTTAGTATCTGACTATCGAGTCGAATCCACTCTTCTCTCCATTGGAGATGGTCTCACCCTTTGTAGACGTCTATATTAATTACTTTATTTGCAAGGGTGTTATGTGTTGATACTAATGATCAGAATTTGGATATTGATAATCTATTTCTGTAGTGATTCGAAAAATAAATTAGTTTTATGTTTATTTTCTTTAAAGTATTCATGTGTGACGAATTGTTTGAATATGAGTTTCAGTTATAATCTTTCTTTAGGGTTGTAATTTGTAAGATTTATATTATAAATATGTACTAATTACTTAAGTAATTAAAATATTTTTTTGGTTAAATGAATACTTAAAGTTATTGTCCTTTTCATCTATATTATATATATATATATAGTCAAAGTAAATAACTAAAGTATATATTTTTTATTTAGGTTTTTAAAAGTTGACATGTGACATTGATTAGGAAAATATTTTAAGTACCTAAATAAAAAAAAGTTGTATACTTTAGATACTTATTTTAAACAAAAGATACTTTAAATGGATGAAAAATGTAATATAGTATAGGCAGTGGCAGAACCACATGGGAGCGGAAGGAGGACATGACCCATCCAAACTTTTATAGTTTAATTGTATATTAAGTTATTAGAAGTTTTAAAACAACTAAAATTAAGTCAAGTACTCTTAAAATAATTATTTTTAAGACATTATCGGTTTTAAAGTTAAATTAAATTAATAATTGCATCTAACTTTTTTATTTAATTACTTTTTAAGACATGATAATTTTAAAATTAGTGAAATTAAATCTCAACCCTTTATTTTTTTTATGGTTTAATTTTTTGTGGTTTAATTATCTTTTAGAACCTTGTTAGTTTCAAAGATAATCAACTTGACTCCTCCCATAATTTCATCCTAGTTTAACCCTTGACTTTAGGTATTTATTTTAACCGAAAAATATTTTAAATAATTAGTTATAATATAAAATTAACCAAAAATAATAATTCAAAAATAATTTAAACATATAAATATCTCAAAAATATATTCGATAATGACTATTAACAGATTAAAATACCTTAAACATGATTATAATATTACAAAGAGTGACATAGTAAGGAGCAAGTTGGCCATTTTCTCCTGAAAAAATTGTTGATTTATTTAATAAGAAAGTTGCCAAATCTGACCAAATTAAAAACTATGTAGGGAACTTCTTATGCTTCCCACAAGCTTCAACAACAACAAAAAAGTGCTTATTTCAACCTACTTTCAATTAAAACAAAATAAAATATTCACACCATCTAGATTTGTTATATAGATTCGTCGGATAATCTCCATTTAAGGGTATCGTAAATACTTGAATTTTAGAAAAAATAATAATTAATTTCTTTTCTATTTAATAAATTTTTATATTCTAAAAATTTATTAATTCATTTTATCAATGCTAATAGATAAATTTATTTTTTTTGAATCATTTGATCCACTTATCACGTCACGGTATTATAAAATAATATTTTTTTAAAATTAAAAATTCTTTTAAAATTTTATTTAAAAATTCTACAAGTTTTATGTGATAGAATCGTAGATAATAATATCTAAAATTATATTAAGACTTAATGATCAATATTGATCAACAAATTTAATTGATTTAATTTTTTAATTCGTAAACTCGATTGATTTAATTTCTCAATTTACAAATTTATGTGTTATATATATACACACACTGAGAATTATACACATTAAAATTATAAACAATAAAATAAAGCAATGTAAAGGAGTTATAAAAGTAATAAAGTTAACTTTAAAGGGTTTTCTTTTTTCTTTAAACAAAAAACAATAATAAAACTTTTGATTATTTAATAAATATTTATTTTTCTTGTCTTCATAATCAGGTGCTTGAGACCAGCTAGTCTGCATTAATTTGCTAATTATATAATAAGGTCATGTGGTGCACGTCTGGATGGCAGATTTAGGGTTATGCCAATGGCAAAAAAGACACTCTAGTTTTGTTGCCATTTTTCATTAATTATTAACCAAAACCATGTATCAACTTGGCTATATACACTATGGCTGTACATTTGATTGAAATTTGATAAATTTCAACCTTATTCGATTTCATAAAGTTTTTTTTTTCTTGTTTAAAATATCAAGTTTAGGTCAGATTTTTTTAATAGATGTAGTTGAGTTGAATCGATTTCGAGTTTATGATGAAAAAAACTTGATCCAACTCGAAAAAAATAATATAATTATCTCTTATATATTTAGAGATAATTAGAATAATACTTTTTATTTATAATTTTCTCAACTAGATCTTTATTTTATCTAATAAAAGTAATTTTTTATGTGTCAAGTCGGGTAAAGTACAAGTTTTTACCTTAAAAATGAATCGGCATAAAACTTCTCTAAACCTAAGTTAAACTAAATGCATATAGAAGCATATAATACTCTAATCAAATTTAAACGGATAAAAAAATAGCTCAACCTAACTCATGACAATCCCTAATATTCACAAGGATAGACTCCATAACAAAATCAATCAAAATACCCTAAATGTTAATCATCTATACATTTGAGGGTTGGTTATCGAGTGGATTCGAGATTTAAAAATTCTTGAATTCAGATAAAATTTTCGAGTTGAGATTAAAATTGATATGTTTATATATATGAAATATAAGTATGAATCCTTCCAAATTAAAATCTAGAATCCAAGAATTAGAGCAAAGTCTGGCCTGACAAAATTTTCTGACACTTTCCCAAGAAAATAATACAGGCCCCAAACTAATGTCTTCAACTCAATTCAACAATTTTCAGTTTTTTCCAAATATTTTCATTGGGAATCAAATTCATTCAAATAAACAGTACACACACATCTTTCGTAATCCACTATACTAAAATGCAACTTTTCTCACTAAATTCAACAAGATTCACCAATTTCATAACCATGGAAGACAAAATTCATGGGATTTGAAAAGAAAATATGAGAAAATAAATCATCAAAGAGAAATAGTTAACTCGGAATTGCATATATTCATGGAAATTTCAATCCCATAATTGTTAACCTTTTACAACAAAATTCTTCAAATTCTTAACGTAGAACTCACAACACAGTTCGTTGTAAAGTTACAATTCACCGGACTCTTTGCTTCTTTTAACAACTATTATATTACATAACTAAATTTCCAAAAAATATATATTATATAATATAAGAGTTTATAGGCAAGAGGCAATACCCGGTAACTTAGAAGCTACGGTTCGTCGGTTGACGAACGGAAATATGGACTGGAAGGGGACGACCGGTACCGGACCCACCGCAGCTGCTGCAAGCCATTCGACCCGACCCTGCGCAAGTCCGACAGCCGATATCTCCATCGGACCAACGGGAACAAATGCACGCGATGCGACCCGTGCCTTTGCAAGTTGAACATCTCGGAAACGGGCCGGCCATGGGTTTCTGATCCATGACTGATTTGACTAAGACGGCGCTGGCCAAGACGCTCAAGCCGGTAGCCACCTGAGTCAAAACGTTAGGAAACATGTCGCCGGAGAAGATTTTTTTCTCAATTCCACGGGATATGGAGCAGTGAGAGGAAGACGAAAGAAACTGATAGCAGGCAAAGAAACTGTATAAATTTGAGGAATAAAATGGGGAAATAGTTGAGTTTTTTTTATTATAAAAATTAAAATAATTGGCTGTGAATTTTAAGTAAAAATAAAATAAAAGTGGCATTCGAATTGTACACGTTAAGCCTATGGGTTTTTGGTGGTGCATATGGGGCTTTGGACTTTGGGGCTTTGGATTGTAGCTGAGTCCCCCATGATAGGACAGAGATGGCAATGGGTTGAGTTAAATCAAGTTTCTTGTATCAATTTAATTTTTTTTTATTAAATTTAAGTTATTTTTTCTGATTTGGTACAATATATATATAAAAAATTTAGACTTAATTAAAAAAAATAAATATATAAAGAGATATATTATAAGAATTATCTTTACATATATAAAAGAGAATTATATTATTATTTTATATCAGATAATATTTCCCCCTTAAATTTAAATCCATTTAAAAAAAATTAACCATATCGAGTTGGGTTAAAACCAATTGGATTCTGATCAAATTATCATCCCTAAATAAAATTATATGATAGGAATATTATATAAAAATTATAAAATACAATATATACGAATCTTATTTGAATTTACTCTGATTTAAATTTATATATAGTTTGATTATCAATTTACATTAATATAATTTTTAAGTTTAAGAGTTCAATTGGATACTACTTTCAGGGAGGGACGAAATTGACCTTTTTGGAGAAGTACAAGGATTAAAATATCCCTTGAGCCAATAAGTAATAGTATAAATTAAAGCACCACTTTCCGTATAAGTAATTCATTGGCCAAGGAATTGTTGAAGAAGTTGAAGGGTTTTATTGGGCAAAAGTTCCCATAAAATGCTACAGGGAATTTTTAATTCCCAAATTAAAGAGCTCATCCGATTAATTCCTCAAATAGGATGCTTTTTACAGTAAATTTGGGATCTCTCGGCGTCTTCAGGGTTAACCAATTTTTTGGTGGGATCTCCCGGCGTCTTCAGGGTGTTGGATTATTTGTGTTTTTTACGGTAGATTTAGGATTTCTCGGCGTCTTCAGGGTGAACCAGATTTTTTTTACTCTTTACTTGGATCTCTAGGCGTCTTTAGTTGAAATCCATGAAAAAATTTGGCTTTTTTACACAAATATCACCTTAACATAAATTAATTACTTGTTAGGCACTGTTTAAAAATATTTTACAGATCAAGCAAATTTTTAAATACTTTCTATAAAATTAATCATATTTTGTTAGTATTTTATTTAATTATTATATTATTTAATTTTTTTATTATTTTATTTAATTATTTTATTTTTTTACAGTTATAAAATGGAAAGTGGTCCTTGAATAATTATATTCGGATTTCTCGACTTTTAAACTTCTCTCTCGGCTATAAATACGCTCTCAACACGTGGATATCTATAATGAATCGACGACATTCTTCTAGTTTAGAGGATTGATGTGAATGTTTACAGGTTGAGAGCGTATTTACAGCCGAGATAAAAGTTTAAAAGTCGAGAAATACGAATATAATTATTCAATGACCACTTTCCAATTTATAACTGCAAAAAAAATAATTAAATTAAATAATAAAAAATTAAATAATAAAATAATTAATACAAAATATGATTAAATTTATAGAAAGTATTTAAAAATTTGTTAGATCCGTAAAATATTCTTAAACAGTGCTTAACAAATAATTAATTTATGTTAAGGTGATATTTGTGTAAAAAAGCCAAATTTTTTAATGAATTCTACTAAAGACGCCTAGAGATCCCAATAAATAATTCAAAAATCTGATTAACCCTGAAGACGCCGAGAAATCCTAAATTTACTATAGAAAACACCCCATTTGAGGAATTAATCGGATGAACACTTTAATTTGGGAATTAAAAATTCCCTGTAGCATTTTATGGGAACTTTTGCCGGTTTTATTGGGTATAAGAATTAGGAAGGGGAGTTTTGGCCAAATAATTCCCCTTCCCCCCTACAAAATTGTTTACATTTCTACATAATTAATAAGCAAGCAGCTTAAGCATGGATTGAAAATGCCATGGTCATTATACACTTGTAAGTTGAAACACTAAACTGAACTAACTGAGAAAATTTGGATAATCAAATGGCCATTTTTCTTTTGTTTTTTTTTTCATACGCAGAATAGAAGATGACCATTTGTTTACTTAATCTGCTTCCATATCATCAAGGTGACCATTTGAAGTCATGCATCGGGGTTTAGGGTTTACGATGTATAGAAAATTAAATTTGATTGGCTTATTCGTGTAGTTTAAGCTCAATTTGACTCCATTGCACGTGTAAGGTCCATTTAACATAGTTAAAGAGAAGGGTAATCACGTAACTTCGAGTAGTGAGAAGGCGAGAGAAAAATATCGTTAATTTAATGGATGGAGCCTTCGTATATAACGGAATCCCAGAGAATTGGAATCAAATTCAAAACAAGAAAACACACACTAAAAAATAAGGATCTGAGATAGCGTGCAGAATGGTATTGCGTTCCGTCTCCGCGACGGAGGCGTGGAGGCCTCTGCGGCGGATCTGGGATTTCCTTTCGTTGAGGAGCTTTGCCGCTGCCAAGAGAGGGAGCGGCGGCATTTACTTGACGGCGGTCGTTAGGACTCGAGACGTTACCTTTTGGAACGGGATTCCGAAACTGCGTTGCTCTCGGAATGAAACGCCGTCTTCCAAATCCGAGGAGGATGAACTTGACCAAGGGCCGCCTCAGTAAGCCGTTCCAAAGCAATTTCAGGTTCCCTTCCACTTTTGGATTAAAGTTGTTTTCATTTTTTTCGAGATAAATATATTTTTCTTATGTAGGAAAAAGGTTGATGTAGCTTTTATTAGTGAGAAATTGAACCAAATACCAACGAGAATTACATTTGAAATAGTTCAAGTAGGATAGAGTCAAGAGAAGTATAATTTAATTAATCTAATTCTGTTTAGCAGCATCAAAGCAGAAACTTTTGAGCAATAATATTGAAAGAAGTTTTTTGCTCTAATTATTATTTCTTCTAGAGTGTCCTCGTAGGATGCATATTTAGACATCAGTTCGGGGACATGACTTTCTAAGAATTTCTCCAAAAGTATAGAACAACTTCTAAAAAATTTGGACAAAAGTATTTTCATATTCGTTATTCACATATGAGTTCGAGTAAGAGGAACTACCCCACCTTGAAAGGTAAATGACGTGGTTCTTTAGATAGATCTTATTGTATACATGTCTTCAATCTCATGTTTGTTTATTTATATGTTTACAACTGGAATTTGATGCCCACTTAAATCGATATATCTAAACTGTTGCCTTTTCTTTTCCATTTACTTGTAGAAGCACGAGCATAGAGTTATTTATATAGGCTTTTTGGTTTTCGAATTCAGAGGTATCAAAGAAAGAAGGGAGAGTTGGCCAAACAACAAATGTGGTTATTGGTGGTACAGTAGCGGATGATTCAACTAATGAATGGCTTGCCTTGGATCAGAAGGTATGTAATATCATCTCCTTATTCCCTATTTTCTCAAGGGGTTTGAGACTATATTTTTCCCTTCAGTTTTAAACTACACCTGAAGGGATTGAGTTCATCTGGAGTGATGATTCTTTTGTTAGGCTGTCTGCAGTACATGCAACATGCTATATTTTAGATACTGAAAGCTCTGATATTCTTTTGGTTGCTAAGTTGATTTTTTTTTTATAAAAAAAAAATTGTCAGGTCAACTCATATCCCACTGTTAGAGGATTTATAGCAATAGGAACCGGAGGTGATGACTTTGCGCAAGCTATGGTTGTTGCTGTGGAATCTGTGTTACAACAGCCGATTCCCGAGGTACCTATACTCATTTGAAACAGTGAAAAATCAATTATTGATCCATATGCCCATTTTGGTGTTGTTGGTGCTCCTTTGAGATCTTCACTCTTGAGCCGCTAGGCAAAGGGGGGACTTGACGAGTTCTTCCTAGGTTTGTTCTCTCTTATAAGCATGTAAAGTACTTTTGTGTCATGTAAATTATAGTTCTCAAAACGAATACATATAGATTTGTATTGATGTATAAATGAGGTGGTAATTTATTATGGTTAATGCAGTGAAAAAGGATATATGATCATATTGACGATTTATGATCCAATTCGAAAGTTACTGGTTGGTGGGAATTCGTATAAAGAGGAGAATTGAGTTTTGAAAGTGATAATTGAGAAAGAGAGTCAGTAAGAGTTCTTTTTTTGTTAAAAAAAAGTTGGTAAAGTATACAAATGGTCCCCTAATTTTTGCTTTATTGAGTTCTTCGATTATTAAAAGTTACAAAATGATCTCTGATTATAGAACATTATTTTGTTGGGTCATGTGACTATTAAAAGTTACAAAATTGTCACTTGACTATTCACATGTTCCAAACTTGTCTTTTTCCGTTAAAAAATTGGTGGTCGACTGAACTGGACGTTAACTTGTTGATTGAGATATGATAAAATTTGATCTCATAATTGTTTGAGCTAAATTTTATGGATCAACTCTCCGTTTACACTATGTTATCGAGCCAATGCTTGAAACATTATGTCGTCGAACCAATGTTTAAAAGCAACGACGGTACCAATAGACATTATTAAAATATAATTTTATCATATCTCAGTCAACATATTAACGTTCAGTTCAAACGACTGTTATATTTTTAACAACAAAAGACAAATTTGAAACATATAAATAGTTAAGTGACTATTTTATAATTTTTAATAGTCGATGGATCATTTGTATACTTTACCCAAAAGTTAATACGCTCCGAATACTATTATGCTAATAAAAGTTCATATGAGAGTAGTTTACCCTTTATTATACTAATAAAGCACCTTCATATTGATTAAAATAAATAAATCACTTCCATGTTCCTTACTGAAGACCGATCGTGGCCGTCCGTCATAAAAGACTTTGTGAGTTGACTTTAAACTAAAACTCGCTATAATTAATCTTCTTCTTCTTCTTTCCTTCCCAGCCAACCCTACCCAACCACATGTTTGAATTCAAGCAGTTCAAGTCTGAATGCTTTAAGGTTTGTGATTATAATCAATATGATAGTTTATTTATGTCATAGCTTTAACTTTTATTTATAAATTGTACAATAATTGGAATATGATTACAGAACTTTTCATGGCAACTTGTTTTTCATTTGCATAGATAATTTAAAGATCATCTGATAACCGTCAAGCCT